ACACACACACACACACACACACACACACACACACACACACACACACACACAGTCTCACTTGTGTCTGCTGATAACTGGCACCTCATTTCACACACAGCCTGCCATGGCACTTACCTCAGAGGTTCCTGTGGCAAACAAGTGATGGACGGGGTTGATGTCACACACATTGTTTTCCCTGAGAAGTCAAGAGAAACAAGCACCATGACCATCAGCTGTGGTGCAACACTTTAACTGTTTTCTCCGGGCTGAACCTCCACACAGTGTTTTACTTACACAGCATCCGTCTGCAGTGAGTTGAGGAAGCGCCCTTGTTCCAGATTCAGTCTGAACACCTCGGAACTGAAAATGAAAAGCAAAAAACCTTAACGGGGTCGCCCGACATGCGCAGGATGAACCTGAAAACATGCCAGGACGACAAAGTTGCCTCGACATCCAGCGATGCAATCGCTCACCTGGTGCCCACAAAATAGAGGTCACAGGAGGGGTAGTGGTAAGAGAAGTCCCGTCCGAACTTGGGAATACGCGTCTTGTAGTAGTGTCCGTGCTGGGAGTGGAACTCCACGTAGCGGTCAGAGTGCAGAAACACCAACTGTATGGACACGGCGACAGAAACAGAAGGCAGTTTTAAAGCAAGTGTAAAAATGCTGAAAAACACCAAGGGTTGATAACACATGGACTTTTAATTGCATTACCATTTCGATTAATGAAGTAAATCCCCTCATGTGTAGTGATAAAGAAACATTATACCATCTCCAAAGCTATACCATGTTTTTATCAGATATGAGGGCTAATCCAGCAGCGTGGTGTAAAACACTGCTGGTGTGGTTCATTGGTAATACAGTAGAGTTTAACCGAGTCATGAAAGCTTAATATGACTGGTGCTGCGAGATTGATGACAGCTTAATATAAATGCAGTTAATTAATAGGTGGTTCTTCATTGGCTAACCCCCCCCCCAAATTGTGTATGAAGTTACAAGGAATAAAAAGTGATTACCGTTCACTTTTGCTGTTGGATGCTGGATGTAGCATGCTAACTCTAGCTAGATGAAAGCGGTGGTTATGTCAAAGCAGGCGACCAATACAGCTATTTGGAAATGACCTCCGCTAAGTGTATTTCACCGATGTTTGTGACCACGAGTAGCCGCTAACTGGGTGTGCTTTTCAGGGGCAGCTTTAGTGATTTGGGGGCCCCAGACCAGCGCTGTCTGACTTTGCTTTTTACTCTTTATCTAACTGGGAATACTGCTTTAGACAGTGGTAGAAGACAAACTAAGTAAAACTATCAATACTGCATGGTAAAGGTTGTGCATTCAAATGTTAAGTTCAAGTAAAGAGTGACAGAGAGGCAATATCAGCACAATGCACTTAAATGTACTTCGTGTCTGTTCAAGGTGGAGCTCTCAATTCTAATATGATGCTGGATCCTTCAATGGATAATAAAGCATCATATTCTAATTGTTATATTTTGAGAGTGAAATCTGAATTTTCAAGGTAATCAACTCTGTCAGGTAACTGTAGTACAATAAAAGTAGAAGTACACAGTAGTACACAGAAGTTTACAGTTGAGATGCGTATCTTTTAAGTGTTTCAGGGGCCTTTTGTTATTTTAGGGTACAGCGACTTAGAATAGTGACCTAATTCAATATTTTTCATATCTAAACATCATAAGAAATCTATTGCTGTGTGAACATAAAAACAAACAAATACAACGGCATCTGTAAAGTGTCGGGGCCCTCGGGGTCTTACCTTAGAGTAGTCATCAGACAGGATGTCAAAAGCCACAACTTTAAGAGAGAGAGAAAAATTCATCAGTTTAGACGTACATGACACGCATCGCCATACAACAAGTAGGTGTGTCTACTAACTTACCGTCTGAATCCAGACAGCGCTCAAACTTCAGGGACAACTGGTAGGTGTCGTAGCAGCGAATCCTGGGTTTGTAAGTGCCTGAAAATAATTGGAAAAGCGGCTGAGTGTTCATGGCGACCTGTTCCACCTGACGACTGTCAAACGTGCCTCTCACTTTTCAGGCAGATTTGCCGAAACACTGTCCGCCAATTGTCTCACCTGTTGCCAGGATGAACTGACCGTCCCTGGACACTTTGATAGAGGTGCACACCATGGGCATCTCAAAGTCCTGGATGAGCTCAATCCTGCGCTGGATGTCTGGGGGGGGGGGGGGGAATATGAAGAGTCAGAATAATGACGGACATTTCAAAGACAATTACCCAGTCTGATATGCTGAAATTGTAGCGGTCAACTCACCGACATCTTTCTTTTGTAACTGTCTCTTCTTCCGATCTGACAGCCACTGCAGTGAAGAGGAAGAGGTGATGGGATTTGGCATACAAAATGACCAATAAAACACTGCTTGGTTACAAGGACACTTTCCTATCTTACCTTTGTTGGGAATATTTTAGTCTTGGACAATTAACACTACTGTACCAATGGTGCAGTCTCAAATGATGTTCTACTGTTTATCTAGCTGTGTTCATTTATTTATATAACACGTTCTATCAAGGTGTTGTAGAATAGACTTCAACATTTTCTTTCAATACACAGTCAGGACTTCTGTTATCACGGCTAGCTGTGTTAGCTAGTTAGCTTGCCTCAAGGGAAGCAGCGACTTCTTAGACTATGGGACGTAACTAAGCGTCAGGAAGCAGCCGCTCTTCTTACCTCTGGAAGGGATTTCCCATGGCTTAAATTGTAAATCTTCACGTCATTCACACTGGATATCTGCATTGTGGGGAGTGAACAGACTCTGGTCACACATAACACAGATATCGCACACCGGTGTGCTGCACTGGATCCACGTTGTTGCTTCGGAGCAAAAACAGGAAGTGAAGGTGAGTTTTCCGAAATAGGTCCGTGTAGAAACCACACTGACTGAAACAGTCCCACTCCTCTCCTGCGTTACGGAGGGACGGAGGCCCTAAGGTCACGAAAGGGAACGCAGAAGATGTTCACATATAAATATAAATATTTATATATATAAATATATATATTTAAAACTATAAATATAAAAAAAATATATATACATATATGTATTTATATATGTATAAGCATTTATATATACATATTATTTCTAATAGGCAAAACGTGTTTTTGAGTGACTTTGTTTCAATTGACTACATTTCTATGTTTGTTGAAGTAGCTGAAATAAAGCCACTCAATGCTGTTGAACCAATTTAAAATCCACTGTATTTTAGCTTTTACATCACCCACTACAACACAATATTACTGAATCAGATTGTGAGCTTTGATCTATATATTTTTTTAATCTTCAACTATATGTTTCTTCTTTAGTTGGCCCCTATGTTTTGTCCCCGTCAGATTAAAGCTGAACAAATATATTTAAAATGTAATGCAGGTCAAAGCCACAGTCAGATTCTAGCACTTTGTCATCATTGAGGTCTGGTAAATGGTGCATTAATGGGAACCACTAAATAAAACGTGATTGTGAAAACGTATCGACAATTTTCCTTGCTCGCTCTTTTTTAAAGATGAATGTGCGCAGTCCATATATAGCATTCATTCACTATTATTATTTTTAAATAATCTTTATTGTTATCAATAAAAATGGAGGCTCTGCCTTATTCAGCTGTTGCGATGGTGAATCGTGATATCAGAGCTCTGTTGATGATGGCTTTTGTCATTCACCACGCATGACAGTTCCATGTATAAATGCTAAACAGTATTTAAAAAAAAAATTAAAACAGCATCTTTTTATTTTTTTTATTTTAAGGAACATGCAAAGTGACAGCAAAGTTGCAAAGTGACGGCTGACCAATTCTGGTAACGTCTACTCAGATCACCTGGAGCGGTGTAACAGCTTCTTGTGATCCTAGAAGGCAGTGGGCTGGCTCTCAGTCAATCTCAGGTGGAGCTGCTGCTCAGACTTTCCAACACCACAACACAGTGGGACCGACACAGCACGGCCGTCAAGATGACCTGACGGTAAGAATCGTCGCTTTGAAAGCTTGTTTCTTTTCATTTTGTAGTTTCTTTTATTTTACTTCAAGTAGCCTAGACATAGAACAATGGAAACTGGTAATATGATCCTAGGATACTAAATGTCTTAATGGAAACAGGAAGAGAATAATATCAACAAAATCTATGAATCTAATTTTACAAAGTCAGCTTAAAGCCCGTACATGTTTGTGATATTGGAGTTCATACTGAATGTTTGTTTGCTTTGGGTCAGTCTCTTTGGTACCAAACGCCTGCTCTTGTGGGGAAGATTTTGACTGGAACGTCTCCATGTGAAGCACTGGGAGTCATGACAGACTTATGGTTGGTTTCTTTCCCTCTGGACAAGACCAGTTTAACCAGTGTTCAGAAACTCAAGCGCACCCTTGCCAAAACCAACCTGGCCTCCAGCTTCAACTTCTTCATTCCAGATCTCAAGGTGAGGCTGTGTGTCGTCTGTCCTCATGAAGACCCCGAGGCAGCCGAGTCAAGTAAAGATGAAATATGTACATAAGGACTGGATGGGGAAGGGTCTCCTTCTTGAGCTGTGAGAGCAGCAGGGTGAAAAACAAAGAGCTAGAGGAGTGGTGAGCGTTAGTTCTGTGTTTATACCAGTGCAGTACAGTGCAGTTGAGGAGGATGATGGTGTTTGGTGTCCTTCTCTGGTGAAGGGAGAAAGGCTCAGGTTGCTCTCTACAGTTTGAGGCAAAATTTCCATCTGACCCATTTCACTCAACGTGATCAACGTTCACCTCGGCTGCCAGGAATCTTAATTAAAGGGGACATATCGTGCTGCATTTTCAGGTTCATGTTTGTGTTTTGTGTTTCTACTCGAACATGTTTACATGCTTTTATGTTTAAAAAAACGCATTATTTTTCTCATACTGTCCGTCTGAATGTACTTGTACTCACCCTTCGTCCGAAACGTTCCGTTTTAGCCCTTGTCCCTTTAAGATCCCCTCCCAAACAGCCCAGTCTCCTCTGATTAGCTTGCGAGAAAAATACGCAGCACCTTTTTCAAAGGTAGTTTCAAGCCGTGTTGGGGAGATACTCGGATGGGTGACTTTTTCATGATATGTCCCCTTTAACAGCAGTTTGTCATTTTAATCAAGGGTTCAAAAACCTTGCAATTTCGGTTTTGAATATGATATGTGCACATCTGAGGGTGAATCTTAAAAGCCAGTGCGTTCGCTATATAAAATCCATGACACATCAGCCACAGTAACACTGACTGTCTGTCTCTGCTGTGAACCCAGGTGGGAATACTGGACAGTCTGTTCAGCGTGTCAGATGATCTCTCCAAGCTCGATACACTGACTGAAAGGTAAAAAAAAAAAGAAGATGAACCAAACTGAATACGTTGATACACACCGAAACCCTTTTTGTCTCAGTGGTCATTACACGTTTTAGTTTAATGTGCAGCTTTGTCCTTAATTAAGACTTGTAACTCTGACCTTGTATGCACCATGAATAATTCATGGTCCGGGGCAGCAGACAGTTAGTTTTCCCTACTGATTTTAAATTCCTCGTTGGTGCATCTGTAAGTGGGGAAGTCATAGCCTATTTGAGACGTAAACATGTAGCCACGGCAGATCAAACCAGACAGGTTTTGTCCCAAAAATTTAACCCTGATTAATTTTGTTATCAGTCTAATCCATTGTTTTCCGAATGTCTCCTCAGCTTGAGGTCTACTTGGATAAGTAAAAACCCTTGATTGGACATTAATAGTTCATTGTGGGCCTCAGTGTTAGAATTAGCAGTAAAGTAGATTTCCAGGAAAGGAGCCAACAAATGATTAAACTTGCATCTGAATAAATAACAGACATGATAGTCGAGGCACCTCTGTAACGAAATGTTTTTCCTTGTTTGCCCGCTCAGTGTTATTAAAAAAACCCATCAGTGTATGAGGGAGGTGATGGAGCACAGCACTGACAAAGTGCTGGAAAACGCCTTAGCCAATGGAGGTGAGTCACACACAAACGCACATGCTGAGGGTGTTCATTGCATCCTATAACTCATTACGTGAATGTAGAGAAGCCCCAGCTTACGTGTGAATGAGACTGAGAGCTACTGTATGCCTGTATACACACACACACATGCAAAGACTGATACCTTTACCTTGCCTCTTAAACAGTATAACCGTGTCTCTGATCACTTTCCCCCATCAGACACAGGCATGAGTCAGTCAACCGCCGTGTCGCCCCTGAAATCTTACCTCCAGTCTCTGAGGTGTATTTTTTTTTAAATCTGCTGGAGTGCAGTGCTACTGTGTGACCCCTTATATAAAGTGTGCCTTCTTGCAGTGCTTTTGCCCTCGTGTTTTCTGAACGGCGCTCCTTATTTCACAGCTTGGTGGTGTGTGTTTACAATTGCGCATTTTTTTGGATTTCTGGTTAGGTTGTGACTTCTTGTGCGTGTGTTTCTCAGTGGACCTGATGAGCTACATGACCAAGTTTCAGTGGGACAAAGCCAAGTATCCCACAGCTCTGCCTCTGTCCAGCCTGGCAGACATCATCAACAAGGTACTGACTCATTAGAAATGAGGATATGCACATGAGGACATGTATAGTTATGATTTATTATAGACGTAATCATCTTAAAGGGGTACTCCAGCAATTTATCATTGCATTTCCGCACAGTTGGGAGACACAAAAGAAACGGTGAAAGTCACAGTGAAATGGAAATCCAGGGGCGTGATGAGTAAACAACACGAAAACGCTAAATACTCTACTGACAATATTTTGCATCAGTCCTACTGAGCTGCCTTTGTCAAAGTTAATGGGAGTGATAAAGTTTGTAGTCTTGGTTCGGACTACGCAGCCTCTGTGTTGTTCACTAAAGCATCTTGAATATGTTCTTTCCACACAATGATTGGTCGATGCCATTATTCGAGGTGCAAAAACAACAGTTTTGTACCAACTAATAGCACGGAGAGAAAAAAACGCCTCCGCTGTGTGAAGGCCTTTAGAGCGTCTTTAGCCTCAGTAATGCAATGTATTCATTTGTATTATTTATAATACACCACGGTCACATGAGCACGAGTATACACACAACGAGGCTGTGAAGGCGGACTAGTCAGTGTGATGAAGTTTGGTCGTCTCATTTAGCGACTTTTTAGCAACCGCCTCTTTTAGGACAAATGAAAGCTTCAAAATTAACCAGACGGGTATTTTGAATAAATACTGACGTATTTTATGTCATAGAACAAAACATTAAAATCTCTTAAGTTTAACCAAAAACCCATTCAAAAACGCATAGACTTTGAGACGAAAGAACCGGAAGTGCAGACAAGCTGACTCATGGATACAGGGATACAGGACACACTTTTGCAGTACTCTATTAAATATTCAACATATAACAAGAGATTAACTGTTATTTTAGGGGAGAGTTTTTCCTTATCCTTTTTGTGCCAAATTTGCGATTTGTGATATTGGGCTATAAAAAAAAAATGACTTGACTTGAACAATTAACACAGGGCTGCAGGATTACAACTCTGAAAATGCACATATTTGTACTGTGTCTTTTTACATAAAGAATGGCAAAAATGGAATCAGAGACCAAAACAATCAGATTTTAAGTCCAAAAACACGATTCCTACATTTCTAATAATTGAACGTGAAAGCATTACACCCTCTTTGCCTGGTAAACACCCACATCCCACACACTCCACACCCTCAGTTTGTAACACAGGAGTTATAAATGTGACTCATTATATACAGACCTATCAAATGATATTAAAGGTATTCAACATAGCATGCGTTCTTATCTCGCACCTGTTTTGAGGTAACCACGTGGTCCCCCTTATGTTTACATGTCCCGTGTGTCAGGAGGTGTCCCAGATGGAGGCAGAGTTAAAATCTCGAGCGGTGGCGTACAACAGTGTGAAAAGGAGCCTGGAGCACAGACTGGAGTGAGTGACGTATTTAATAAAAAAAGAGCTTCAATGTATCAAGTATGAACTGATGAACTGGAATGTGTGTGTTTCCAGTGGGACTTTGCAAACTCGCAGTCTGAATGACATCGTGAGGAGGGAAGACCTGGTGGTCTCGGAGTACCTCACCACTCTACTGGTCCTGATGAGCAGGTCAGTAACACACTAAACGTTATTCTACCGTCATTTGATAGTACGACGTGAATGTTTGTGTGTCTGTGTATGGGTGTATTCATAAATGTGTTTTTTGGTCACAGAGGGAGATACCTGCAGTGGGAGAGGACCTATGAGTCTTTATCAGAGTTTGTGGTTCCACGGTCCAGCAGGTAAGCGGTCTGTATGCACTCTTGGCAGTAAGATAAGCCATTCCACTTGATCCCAGTGGAAGTGGACCAGCAAAGCCCCGAGTGCTTGTTCTCAGCATCCAAAAGGTCAGGCTAAGTACGCACAGGTGTTCCATTACCGGCAGAAAGTAAGAGTTTGTGCAGCTGGATCACTTCTAAGAAAGGAGATGGGTTTTTTTGTCATAAGAAAGTTTGTATTCAATCAAACTTTTTAAATATTTCAATGCTTTATGACATCATGTCAGAACCTGGGTACCTTACAAGAAAAATGAAGCACTTTGTAGACTGACATCTATATTAGAGCAAGAACTAAAAGGCGCTGTCAACCCCCAATTTGTCATGGATGAATATTTAAAGGTTTTTGTTTTCAAACTAAAAAACACTCTTTGAAAAAAACAAAAGAGCCCTGAGTTCCTGTAAGACAGCCCTCCAGTCTTTAGAAACGGTGCCTCTGGAAAAATAATGAGGACACTAAAGACTAATGACAAAGCAAACAATGGTTCTATTATATATGGACCTTATATGGCACGCTGCTTTTGTTGTTTGTTCCATTTCCAGTTTTATCTTGTAACACACTTTAAATGACCATAATCAGAAAACTTCAGTTATGGAATCAAATAGATCTAAACTCATAAGAAAACCCAAATTCCAACACTTTATGACTATTACATCAGTCACAAGCCCGGCAGTGACGGATGTGCAGGGTCTTTAAAGAAGGCCTGTGTGAGGGGGAATGAATGCTCTTATACAATAAGCATTTAAAGTTAAAGTAAATTTAGGGTGAATTATAATGAATAATATTTGTCTTCTTACTCCCTCAACTTTACATCACTAGAACATAGAACAGAGCATTAACAAATTAGTTTAACACGGTTTTACTAAAGAAGAGCTGGAGCAGATGGGAATGTCATTAGTTTCAAGTTTCTGCTCATAAACCAAGGTATTGGACAAATAAAAATGTTGACCTAATGATGAACATTAATGTCTGATGGCAAGCATGTTAGCATGGCATGTTGGACACTATTTGAGCTTCACAATGCGTGCTATCTAGCCTTTCAACACAGATACAGAATTCCAGTGCATCAAACTGTTGACTTTATTTCCTCCCTGGCGTCTTTCAGCGTGACCTGTTGCTGCATGATGTCACGGGGCGCTCTAATATTCTGTCATTATTTCGTGTGACCATCAGGAAGCTGTACGAGGACGGAGAGGGAGGCGTTTTCTCCGTCACACTTTTCAAAAGAGCCGTGTGTGAATTCAAAGTCAAAGCCATGGAGAGCAAGTAAGCGGGGCCGGATTGCCAGAAAATACCCCATCAAGTCAAAGCTGTGTTGTAGGTGTCAATTACCATAGTGTAGCCTATGATCCAAACAGGTTCACCGTGCGCGAGTACAGCTTCGATCTGGAGGCGAAGAAGCAGCAGGAGATGAAGCAGCACAATGTTCACAAGATGGAGCAATACGTGAGTCCGACTTCGTACATCGTAGAGTTTTTGGGATTTGTGTGCTTGTTTGTCATGTATAATTATAAAAGGCAATGCCTCCTCCATAGGGAATCTTTGTGCGTTGGCTGAAGGTGAATTTCAGTAGGGTGTTTGTTGCCTGGATTCACTTGAAAGCATTGAGGGTGTTTGTGGAATCAGTCCTCAGGTCAGTGCAAGTGGTTTCCTTTCAAATATGGCCTGCGATTAATTTCCCTGTGAGTAGACTCATGGGGGTGTCTCCTGCTAGGTATGGAATACCGGTGAGCTACCAGGCTCTTGTGCTGCGCACGGACAAGAAGTGTTCGAAGAAGCTGAAAGAAGAACTCGCCTCCCTGTTCATACACCTGGACCCCACCGCCGCCACCTGCAAGACACATGTAAGAGGCCCAATCTACTTTCACTGCTTCAAACTTTGCTTTCAATTACAGTATGTCATTGCTATGTCGGATGTTCGCTCTCGATCCGCTTACTAGCTTTTTCCATAGCTTTCAACCACATCTCACAATCTTCATCAGCTAATAGAACTGACACAGGTAAACTAATTGTGGAACTTTCAGTCACATTATGACACCTGAGATAGAAGAAAGACTGCTAGCAATGCTGGTCGTGTTGTGGTCAAGACCACCCAATCCTGCGTCCCGCGTTCACTTTTCTTGGAGTGCGTGTGACGGGGGGATAACTTTGGTGCATGTTATTCTATTTGCTGCTCCCTTTGGAGGTTGTCCACAGTGGATCATCTGTTTTTCCATCTGGTCGGTAACCCGGGTCTCGGGTTGCAAAACATAGAACTGGCTGGGTAAAAAAACTTGATCAGAATGGTGCACGGATAAACACTCCTGCAGAACAATGACTGCTTTTAACTGGGTCAAGTTGTGTTTTTTGTGTTGCTCTGTCTCCCTCTGCCAAGCAGGCAAGCTGTGACATCCCAGAACTCTGTCAGCATGAGTACTTCTCCTACATCTGCTACCATATCAACACCAATCTGCTGGAGATCAGCTAGCAGCCCGCAAAGAGAGAACACAATGACCAAGGAATGAGGGCTCTGTGGACCAGTCAACAGAAAGAAATAAAACACATCCAGGGTTCTTCTGTGAATATCTTGGTTTTCAACATGTCTCATGAGCCAGAAACTGTGGAGCTTCTCTTGGACAGCGGTGTACATAATCATGTCAGATGAGCAGTGGATGGATTTGGGTCCTCTTCACCACATCTTCAGCTGCACGTGGGCTACACTTTGTGACTGTGGAACCATTCAGACCTGCGAGAACATGGACTGTAAATGTTTTCGTTATTAGTGGCGGGGTTACCACCAGTAACCATGGGTGTCGCCAACTCAACCAGCTCTGAAATCTTAAGGATTTAAATATAACATAATGTATCAAAGTAACTTGTACTGAAGAAGATTTCATGATATCATATGATTATAAATAGCCTATATACTGACGCATCAGAGCGTATGTAGCGTTTGACTCATGTAGCCGGTCAAGCTAGTTTTAAAGGGAACTCCACCAATTTTACACATCAGAGTCTGTTTACAGGTTTTGGGGAGTACAACAGAGTTCTGCAGGGATGATGCAATTTTGGAAGCCAACCCAGAAGTTAGCTTTGCACTCGTTCGATCGACAAAAAGGGGATTTTCCCACTGGGTTTTGGATTATTGCAAGAAATAAGCTCTGCGGAAAACAAACGTTGGTGATATTCACACATTTTGTTCAGCCAGATAATCTTCACAAATGAACACCACTTTTCTGATTTTTGATGAGTGAATGCAATCAGCAGAAGCAAAAAGCTAACATTAGGCTGTAAACAAACTACACACTGGCAGCATGAGTGCAAGAATACACAACAAAGCTGTGAAAGCAGACTGGCAGACGTGATGACGTTTTGTAGTCTCATTTAGCCACTTGTTAGCAACCGTCTTTTTTGAGACACTTACAAGCTTCCAAATTCATGTGAGGGGTATTTACTGATCAATTTTATGTTCAAATATATTAAGCTTGAGTTAACCACAGACCTTATTTCAGACATATAACCAAAAAGCCATTTAAAAAACCTATTGAGACGAGAGAACAGGAAGTGCAAATAATGCTGACTCATTTCCTACTTTTAGGACTCATTCCTGCAGCACTCTATTGCATATGTGAAAGCATTTGCATGAAGCTGTATGGCTCCACGGGAGGGGTGGAAAGTCTGATACTTTGCCTCAAGTGATGTCACTCGAGTCAGCATCGGTTGGGTCTAAACACTACAAGTTGGAAAATAAAAGAAGAAAAATGTGGAGGTATGGCGTTAGAAAGAAGTGAGCTTACTAGCCGCTACTAGCATAACACATTTCCGACCAAACTGGTCAGTTGCATTGTGGGTATTTGTGGGAAAGAAGAATAAATGTGTGGAATAAAAAAAGTATCTCTGGTTCTGCTGCATCAATTTCGAAACATTATAGAAAAACATGTCCATCAGAGTGTAAAGCTAAATCTGTGGAGTGCTCTTACACATAGTTCGGTGGTTTAGGCCAGTGATCCCCGACCCACAGCTTCAGACCCTCCTTCAAAGGGTCGCAAGATAAATCGGAGAGGTCGCTAGGTGATTGATGAGGTAGGACTTTGCTGGACAAAATTTGACCTCTTTGGACATTGGAGTCTAGAGGAGTAATTTCTCTTTGCGGTAAATGCTAACAACTTATATCTGAAACATGACGAGTCCCAACTACACCCCTTGTTTGTGCAATGGGCTAACAAGACAAAACTTGTACTGTACTTTATTCATAATTTAGTATATGTACTTAGCTACTCTCCACCACTGAATGCTATTCAGCACATGATCACCAGAGTGCACTATCTCTGCTCTGAGCAGCGACCATTTTCCACAGCATTCCCGCTGTCATAAATGCTATTTGATCAATCAAAATCTTTGACGCTGGAACATTTCCTTTGGATATTACAAGGTAAATTTTAGTAATGAGTGTACTCGCTATAATGCAAACATGTGTTTACCGTCTAGCTTTCATAGAGACAATAGGGCTTTAACCACTGTGGGGAAGGATTAGTTTGTCTGTATTATGGGGTGATTAATGCTGCTCTTTTAATTGTTAACTCAGTTGTCTTTGCAAACCAAACAAGCCACATATTGCATCACCCAGGCATGAGAAAGACCTGTTCCCTCTCTTTTACTTTGTGTGTGTGTGTGTGTGCGTGTGTTTGTATGTGTGAGAATGAGAGAGGGAGAGAGAGCGAGCGAGCGAGAGAGAGAAAGAGAGAGAGAGAGTGAGTGTGAGAGCGAGAGAGGTGGGAAGTGTTGGGGAAAGCTGGCCGCTCAAGCTGTGCCATTCAGCGCATTAAACCGCCGGAGGAGCAAACGTTTACGCGCAGAAATAATGGACTCCCCCTCTGGTTAGCGCGCTTTAACATTACAGGCTACATATTTCATTCTGTCAAACATCTGAGTAAAATGTGGACAGTTCCGAAGCCAAAGTACAGAACTGGTTTGTGCGCCGAGGGGGAGATCGCTGTGAACATTGGCGGAGTCCGTGTGGTGCTTTTCGGGGATGTTTTGAACCGCTACCCGGACAGCAGACTGGCGGAGCTGTTGAACTGCTCAACTCAGAATCATGAAGTCATATCCTCGCTCTGCGACGACTTCGACCCTGGCAGAAAAGAGTTTTACTTCGACCGAGATCCCGATGCCTTCAAGTGCATCATCGATGTGTACTACTTCGACGAAATCCACATCAAACCCGGCATTTGCCCCATCTGCTTCATGAAAGAGATGGAGTTCTGGAAAATCGACCAGGATGTTTTAGACGAGTGCTGTAAAAGCTACCTGAGCGAGAAGGAGGAGGAGCTGACAGAGATTGCAAACAAAGTAAAAGTGATTCTGGAGGACCTGGAGGTAGATCGGTGCATCACGCGTGCCCAGCGGTGCCAGAGGTTCCTGTGGAAGCTGATGGAGAAGCCGGATACCTCGCGGCCGGCGCGCGTCATTACCATCGCGTCCTTCCTCTCGGTCCTGGTCTCGGCGGTGGTGATGTGCGTGGGGACCATCCCGGAGCTCCAGGTGGCGGACGCCGAGGGGAAGCTGGTGGAGCACCCGATCCTGGAGGCGATCGAGACCGCCTGCATGACGTGGTTCACCGCGGAGTACCTGCTGCGTCTCGCCTCCTCTCCGAACAAGCTGCACTTCGCCCTCTCCTTCATGAACGTCGTCGACTTCATGGCCATCGTGCCTTTCTACGTGGTCCTATCCCTCACCTACCTCAGCACCACGTCCATGATGGAGTTGACCAACGTCCAGCAGGCTGTGCAGGCGCTCCGCATCTTGCGCATCGCGCGCATTTTCAAGCTGGCGCGCCACTCCTCCGGGCTGCAGACCCTGACCTACGCGCTCAAAAATAGTCTGAAAGAGCTGGGCTTGCTCCTCATGTACATGGGCATAGGCATCTTCGTGTTCTCGGCGCTGGCCTACACCTTGGAGCAAAGCCACCCAGAGACGCTTTTCAGGAGCATCCCGCATTCTTTCTGGTGGGCCATCATCACCATGACCACGGTGGGCTACGGGGACATCTACCCCAAGACCACGCTCGGCAAGTGCAACGCGGCCGTGAGCTTCCTGTGCGGGGTGATAGCCATTGCCTTGCCCATCCACCCCATCATAAACAACTTCGTGGTGTTCTACAACAAGCAGAAAGTGCTAGAGAACGCGGCGAAGCACGAGCTGGAGCTGATGGAGCTGAAGTCGGGCGGGGACGCGCGCAGGAAAAGCAGCGATTCCGCGGACGCACCAGCAGTGTGAGAATCCAGTCCGAGTCCAGTGAAGACTTTTACAAGAGCTTTTGCTGCGAATTCATTCCTGAGGAAGAAATTAATCCTAAACATATGAAGCCAAAGTTAATTTATAAGATTCGGACCTTGACTGAAGACAATGAGACATTTTCTATGGTCACATTGGGACAGCTCCATGCAGTGACACCTGTAGTTAGCATGTTGTCTCCACACAGCTGTGTCGTTCTGTTGCTTGGTTGAATGTGTCACGTGCCGCTTGTTCCACGGTGCGGTCATTTCTTTTCATAACTCTCGCTGTTGTGAAGGCTGTTGTTATCATTGAATTAAAAGTTCATGTACACGGACACACACTTGTGCACAGAGAATCATTAAAGCGTTACATTTAACCTGCTAACTGAGGTGAAACAAGTTCCCCCCGATTTAACAAATAACAATACAATTAAGGAGAAGTTTTTTAGGGACTTATATTGGATCAGTGTGGGTGGATTCATAGCTGCTATAATTTTAAGAAATGCAATAAATTAGATAAGCTAAAATATGACTAAAGCCGAGTCATAAGTTGCAGCCCCCAGAAAAATGCATCTCTTTAATTATATTGTGCTAAAAGTGATTGTAGAAGAATGTCTCCTGCTCATATTTTGTGTTCTGTGCAGTTTGTGTCTGGCTGACCCCATTGATCAGATGTGATTATTAATTCCCTCGGGACCTGGATGGATTACTGAACGGGCCCAGGGGCCCAAAGTGTGAGGGGCTCCCCTGGCCTTCACCTGCAAAATGTCACAATGTCAAAGAGACTATTTTACATTTTGAACCAGGAAGACTCAAATGACCACAAAGATGACATAAAATGACTACAATGAGATACAAAACAGCAGCAAATGGACACTATGAGACTCACAATGACTATGAAAAGGGGCAAAACAACCTCATAGAGACACAGAATCACGACAAATAGACACAAAGCAGCTATGAAGAGACTCAAATGACCACAAAGAAACAGAAAGCGACTACAAAGAGACTATAAACAATGACAGAGATGCGAAGCAGCTGCAAAGAGACTACACAATGACTATGAAAAGGGGCAGAACAACTTCTTAGAGACAGAAAATGTTTACAAATAGACACAAAGCAAGTACAAAGAGATGCTAAACGACTACAAAAACACACAAAATGACTACAAAAAGATCAAAACAACTTCAAAGTCCGCCTATGGTTTGAACAGAAATTCAAAAAAGCAAGCTTTTAAACAATGAGAACATGGTGGGCTGTCATACTGTCTCAAAAGTGAAAGGATATTTTTTTTTGTGGTTTCTCATTTTAATCTTTAGTCTCGGAGTCATCTGACCCAACCTGACACTAACCACATACTGACCAGCTGCTGACAATGACATCCACTGTCCCAGAGATGTGAACAGATATTCTGTTCCAGTATTTTTGCTGAGGTCCAAAAGTAAAGTGTATGTGTCTTCTGAATGTCCCATTCATGTCAGCGTGCTTTACTCGTTTTAGAACACAACACAACCTATCTATATGAAATCAAGCTATGTGACCTGTCTAAGCCATGCAACATTTTCACAAATTGCATTTTCAAATCTTTTTTAATGAAAAGATACAGATTGAGTGTTGAGGTCGTTCAAAACTGCATACAGAAGAGAAGGAGTACTTTTTGTTGAAAAGGCATTCATTTGTCAAAAGACTGGTGATGGGACACCTGTTTGAAATAAAATGATGATTTTATTTCGTTTTTTGAAGATCATTTTTGAGAAGTCATGTAGAAGATTCCGATATGACCACTGATTCTGGGTAATTGAATCAATAACAGTGCATCATAACCTCATCATATGATTTGTGTTTAATCATTTGTAAAGTAACTAAAACTGAAATGAACGTAGAGGAGTAAAAAGTGCAATATTCACAGAGGATGAAGTAGCATAAAATGGAAAGTAAAAGTACCTCAAACTTGTACTTGAGGTAAAGCACTTGAGTAAACGTTCCACTGGAGTAAAACTAAATGTGCATGGCAAGAGGCCACGACTTTCTGTAAATTCACTCCTGTTGAAAGAAGTGTCTGCCTGTGTTTCTTCCTGCTCACTGCAATGTGCCACAGTGCTGTGTTGTTTCTTCCTGCAGCCATCCTGTATGAAAAACTAGATTCTATTCCGCTAAGAAGAGGTCAACCTTTGCTGTATGAGCCAACATCACCGTTGACCCCTGCGAAATGTGTCTGTGTGCGGAAGCACATTTTATAAGTGGTCGGCGTAGAAGTTTCTGTGTTCATGAGTTCCTGTGCATCGCGTGTGATGCGATCTGAGGCGGTGTTCTGTGACAAACGGCCGTCCCCGGCGGGGGAACACTTCAAAGTAAAGGCTGCACGCCCCCACACACTCCACGCTCAGAAACCCTCCCCTCCCTCCCTCTCTCCTCCAACCAACGCCCCACCCTGCTGCCTCCTTTCCACCTCCCCTTGTTCCGGCTCAGATATGAGCAGCTGTCATCTCCTCTGGCTGAGAGTCATGTTTTCAGGGTATGTGCAGATGCAAAAACTTTGTGTGTTGCACTCTGAGAAGGGGGGAAAGAGAAGGATCGTTCATCAACACCGAAGTGATGACATTAAAGATTCATGCGAGGATGAAGGGACATTAACTGACATTGACTTTGACCAAATATAGCACTCAATACCTTATGCATCAGCGACCATTGCGGATGACTCAGTCTCTCCTTCTGCGTGGCTCGGACACACACACACAGGTTGAATCCGTATATTGCTGATCGCAGTGCGAGACAACTTTACAAAATGTGCATCTGAACATTCATGCTGCTTCTGATACAACGTCTTTCTCTCCGTTGCGACCTGTAAACGAACAGCATCAAGGACGCAGGAACATCCTCGTCGATACCTGGCTTCCTCCAGAGCGCTTTGATGCTTCACAAGACAGGTCTCCCACGATCCCCACAGTCCCAGAGAGCGCATGTGTCCGGAGGAGGATTTGATGGTGAATAGGATTCGATCGATGAACGATTTAATACCGACAATTAGTTCTTTCTTTTAATGAGTTCCCACTGCTCGTATAAAGCAACGTAGCAGCGTGGGCGAGTACATGGGGAGGTTAGCCTATGTCTTTTCTTTCTTGAGACTTGAGCGGGTCTTGCATGCAACAACAGCATGTGATCACCGTGAAAAACAACACAAAAAAACGAACTAAAATTCAATAAGTAGAGTTTTCCAATCTGATTGTTTTTTAAATGCAGTATAAAACCACCAACAAATCCTGTTAACCAAAGATTGTCACAGTTTAAAAAGGCCATTTAAAAGAACTAAATCTTTTGTAATTTGTATTCTCTTTGTTCCATTCATAGTTCATGTTTGGATGTAAATGACTGACAGGCTCAAAGGGACGAGTTTTATTTAAGTTCCTGAGAGTGCGGTCCGTAGTGAGAGTCCATGCAGGCGGGTGTGTTGTCTTCATGGAAGCCTGCAGACAACAGAGGTTATGTACTTCATGGTGACATTCAGCTGGCAAAGGGCTTAGAGTTTAACACAACAACACTTGCTTTGATTAAAGGAAGTCATATAGTTTGGTGATTTATGATCAAATAGACTACAGCACAGAGGAGAAGAACATGTAGCTATTTTGAAAAAAGAGGTAAAACCATGATGGATGAGGATGGAGCGCATGCGTCCTCTTGAGAATTGTCTTACTCATTCCTTAGGGTTCTCATTTTACTACATCACTAACTAACGGATAGATAACTTTACTTCTAAAACTAAACAGTTTGGTCACACATGCACAAGACAGAGGTGGAGGTAACGAGCCATAACAACTGTGTTAAGGGGGTGACGTGCTGGAGTTGTTTCCCCAAAGTGGCCAAAAAATCAGCTAATGCAGGTTTAAGCGAATTATGAGGCTACTTGCAACCTCGTGGTCTACGGAGACCCAGAACACCTTCTGCTTAGGGCCCCAAAAACACTTGGACCAGTCCTGGGCTAGGTTGAAAGGTCAGCAGGGCCAACATGCAATCTGAGTTTACTTACTGTCCAGAGTGTCTTTCACCTTTAGGGGAATAAAAGAAAGACGTATTATATTATGCAATTTGAACATGTGTGTGCGCAACAGATGGCAGTGCAAACCAACGACATTTAAAGCATCTGTCAGTCAAACCAATTGCACCCAAAACAGAACCAAAAAAAACTTATACCCTTCATGCATAACATCATATCCCACTCCACTTTTTCTTTCTCTCTCTCTCTCTCTCGGAGTGGAAGGAGCACGGAGCTGAAGGAGCGTGGTTTTGAGAGCGATACTAGCATTTTTTCGACATTTTTTCTTCACTGGGTAATGTTGGGTATGATAGTGTAGTGTAGTGTGTAGGGTTCACGGGGTTTGTGTGCACATTTATGGGGTTTTAGGGTATTTGTTTGAGGGTGTTTGCAGCTGATCAGCGCAAGATGTCGGCGTGCTAAACGCCACCATGGGCCTGACGGATTTGACCAGGAAGCACGGGGTGAAGATCCCGCCACTGTTCGGGTGTTCAGTGGAAGGAATCAGCCTGGCAGTGGGTGAACTTGTTGGCCACAGCTGCGTGAAGTCCGCAGCGTGGATGAACAACGCTGTGGTCATATTTTTAGATAGTTTAGAAGCTGCGGAAGTGGTGTTGGAGAACGGGATCGATGTGGGTGAACACTTCCTGCCCGTTTACCCTCTCAGCTCACCGGCAGTAAGAGTCACTGTGTCTAACGTTCCTCCGTTTATTAGAAACGATGACATAATCAGAGAGCTGTCCAAACACGGTAAGGTAGTGTCTCCGGTTAGGAAAGTGTCTTCTGGGTTTAAATCTCCGCTGTTAAAACGCGTGGTGTCTCACAGGAGACATGTCTTCATGATCCCCAACAACAGGAGCAGGGAGGTAAACCTCGTGTTTAAAATCACTGTAGAGGACTTTGATTATGTAATTTTTGCAAAGACTGATGATTTAAAATGTTACAGCTGTGGGAAAGAAGGACATCAGAGCAGAGCTTGTCCTGGTGAAAACGGTTCTCATAAAGACCAGAACCAGAAAGGTACTGAGGAGGGCAGAGGGGACAAGCAGGACGGACAGGAGGGGACAAGTGGATTACAGGTGGTGAGGGAAGAGGAGACAAGTGATGTCCAGAAGGTGAGGGAGAGTACTGGAGGACAGGTGGAGTCAGGTAGCGAGGTAGACATGGAGGAAGACGAGGAGCAACTCAAAGCTCCTCAGCTGAAGAGGAAAAAGGGGGGGAATACTGGAAATTCACAGGCCAAAAAAGTGGCAACGACAGGAAGTTTAGGAGCAGCTGAGTGTGAGTCCAGCCTGGAAGAGGACTCTGAGCCCAGTCTGGAGAAAGTCGCTGCTGCTGAAAGTGAGCCCTCTGAACACAAGGCTGGCAGTTGTAAGAACTCTGAAGGCTACAGCGTGGAGGAGATAAAGGAGTATCTGCAGAGAAGCAAAAATGTAAGAGGAGCCAAAGTGGAGGACTACCTCTCTGACAAAGAGAAGCTCTCCAGCTCGGCCAGAACGCATATGAGAAGCAAGGACAGAGGAGGTCTCACGAAGCAGGAAGGCTTCAGACTGAAGAAAATTATTCAGACAATAAGGAAAGAGATGAACAATGACGGAGCCAAGTAAAGAGACCGGAGCCCACGTGCTCACACTGGCTGCTTCGGGAGCCGCTGGAGAACGGAGCCAGGATGGGCATCCAGGACGGCACGACTCCAGGTCTCAGCAGCATGCTGTGACCCTCTGAGGATTCCAACCGGCAGAGTAGGAGGATCCTGAACTCCTGACTCTGCAGATCATTTTTCCAGATCTAGCATTAATTCCAGAGCTGAATGAACTCAACGCTCCTTGATTATGAAGAGAAATTATTTTGATTGTTTATTGTTTTGTTTTGTTTTGAAGAGTTTCTTCTAATCCATTGCCACGGCAGCGATGTTTTGTTTGTTCATATTGTTTTAAGTAAAATAAAGGTTTTCTAAAAATCAAAAGAAATCTCTCTCTCTCTCTCTCTCTCTCTCTCTCTCTCTCTCTCTCTCTCTCAAAAAAACAAACATTCTCCCTTACCAGCACTGGTCTTCTGTTGTCATGGCTCCAGTCTTTAAATAACAGTCTCGCTCTCATTATTCTGGCGAAAAAGCCTTTTGCTTCTAGGCTGGACTCCCACGTTAAATGCACTCCGCTCCATTCATTGTCATAGAGTTAATAGAGCAACAGGGTGTCTCTTTTCTAATCTTATGCACGTCAGAGTAATGAATCATTACAGATATTTTGAGGGGATGCAGGGTTGGACGTTGGAAACGGGGAGGGAGTAGAATTACTTAAAATCAGATCAAGTCCCCATGTAATAAGATTCCATCCACTTGGTCGTGTATCAAGCTTGTTACTGGGGTCGGATTACAACATGCAGAACAACACCTACAGTATTTCACGCTCGCATTCAAATTCTCATCAGTAATTTAAATCACTGAGTCAGCGCAACGCTTCCATGGCCAATGAGCGACCACGGGATCCGGTGTGGTGGGTGGTGGCGGTGCTTTGCATGTAAAACGTGAATCTGCGACATTTCATGAGCTCTTTTTCTAGCATGCAATACTTGGCTTGATATTTGGCTACTGATGTGGAAAGTGTTGAAAAACCACAGGTGAGCTCAAAAAGTTAACACATTATCCTTAGTTGGCTGAATTAATGATTTTTAATTTGATTAATTTGAAAACGCATCCAGACCCTTTTAAGCCTTAATTCAGCCCTGGTGCTTATTTTATTATGTTAAGTTGCAATGTATCCTCAAACAAGGGTTCATATAATATCTTATGAAAAGTTACTCCT